TGATTAAGCTAAAATTTTTTTAGGCTGTAAAATTTATTTTAAAATGTGTATGGTATATGTAGAGTCGTTCTCTTATGTACCAGCTAAAGTAGGAGTATTTATTTATGTCATGGCTTACGGTATGTACCATATCACTCAAATAGTCAAATGATCTCTATATCAAACTAAATGGCCAATTAGGTGATGTAATCTTTGGATGTGATTTAGTTGTTGAATTTAGAAGATGGCGATCTCATTGTAATTATGTGATAGATATATTGTAATAATTGTGGATAATTTTGTGCTTTGTGATTGTATATATAAATATATTAATAGTGTTGGACTAAGGTGGTGAGTAACTAATCTCATTGATTTATATGAACAAACTAATGTTTAATTTATATAATGGATTAAAATTTTGTCCCTAACTAGCTTAGGGAGTTGTGACAAAAACCCAATTAGTTTTCGGTAGGCATTGACCCTTTTTGATTTATTAATCTTTAAAATCCAGGTTTTGAAGCATGCATGTACTTCATTTGTTCTTTGATAATTGCAATAATATTTTAAGCTATTCACACAATAATTGCAATAAAAAACTAAGATGCATCCATGTTTAAGAAGTACAGTATACATGTTTCTATAGAATTAGTTTATCAATGCTTATTTTGTTATGCATGGAAGAACTTTTATGGCATATTTATAGAATTATAAGTAAACTTTTACCCTGATCTCAACGATACTTTAAAGATTACATCTGCAAAACCATATATTTACAAGTTACTAAAAGTTAGGATTTTTTTTTTCCTAGTTGTTTTAGGTTTTTGTTGTAATATAATGAGGTATTTCAAGGCTACAATAAGATCGAAAAGATGATTTTATGACAATGGAAAAAGTACGGTGTGTCGTGAAGCAAATTCTCTGACTTAAAAACGAAATTCCGACGCAACTGGGGTGCACTATTGAATTCACTGGCACGTTCTCTAAGGTTAACACACCACTTCCGCTCAAAGACACTGTTGGATGGAAGGTTGGAGCCAAGTAACTTATGCCCAATATGGAGTATTTGTTTAAGCTTGTGTTTGAAGGTTATGTTCAAGTGTATATAATCAAAAAATTAATCTTCCATTTATAGAGAAGGAAGGAAGAACATGGAAGATCATTGAAGAATCTCAAGCATCAATGAGGGGAGAATAAATCAGAATGAAGATGAAGATGAAGATTTAATCACCTTAATCCTCTTCTTAAAAATTGTGGGGGTTACAAGAGAACAAGAAAGGAATCCAAGAAGAAGGCAAAGAGACATTCCAGAACTTGGAATCCCACGTGCCCTACCAGGCATGGCCACTCCTGACCGGTCGAGCAAGCTCAACCAAATGATGTTGCTCACGCCCAACTGGGCGAGCTTACCCGGTCTGCCCGAGCACTTGGGTTTTTGCCATTTTCCTTGAAATCGAGTTTTGCCCCCTGGCAGCCAGGGCAAGCGGGATAATCACAAAATTACTCCTTGATAGTTAAGAATATAATCTTAGTTTTAGCTGATTCATACATGATTCTAAATATTTATGTATAAACAACAATGCCTTATTCCCAAAATGATTTAAAATCACCTAACATTAAACTATAAGAAACCTTTCGATGTCTTTTGTCAATTTATGACAATTCATGAAAACTGACCCCAACTCATATATTTTGAAGAGCCTGTTCTCATACGTTTATTTTCATTTCAGTTCAGCTCAGCTCAGCTCAGCTCAGTTCAGTTCAGTTCAGCTCAACTCCTAATTTATCCTTCTCTTATAAAATATTCAGTTCAGTTCAGTTCAATTCAATTCAGTTCAGTTCAGTTCAACTGATTTCAGTCTATTAGAACAAGCCCTAAGGCTATGTTTTTTATGGGAGATATATGAATTATTTTGTACCGGTCCTTTGAAAAAGAGGACATGATTGATCTTATTGCCATTGTGACTCTTACTTTCTTTTGTGGCATGATATGGGATATGATAATCAAATGGTTGACATTCAAGTATCTAAGATCAATGATGTATATACGTGTAAACATAGAATGAGATGCCTTGGATGACTTTTTTCTCAACTCTTATAAATTGTAAAACCTTGTTTATTAATTTTTTTCTAATAAATTTTTTTATTATAACCCTATATCAGCCAAAATTTATCTATTTTAAAATTCTATTTATTAGGATTAATATTTTGACATTCGCCAATAAAGATCATGCTCATTACTAAAACCTCATTGATCCATTTAAAATCCTTTAACCTTAATTAAAATGTTATATACATTCAGATATCCCGTTCGATAACCAGGTCTGAACTGCATTATGATCAATTGATCGATCGATGATCAGAAAAATAATAATTTAGCAACAAGTGGACAGAGAACACGATGCAACAGCATTATTCAACATAATTAAAAAAGTAGCCGGGTACGTCGGAGGTTCCATGAATATCACTGGCGAGAGTAGCATGGAGTAACGTAAGATGGACAGAGTGTACGGACGCAACACCCCGAAATTGTAGGGATTCTTCCAAAGATATGCTCCTCCTCTATTAATTCTTCATTTCCTACTTTAGTATTATTATTTTGTTATTCTGAATTAAGTTGACAAATCTGGCTTCAAAAAAAAAAAAAAGTTGACAAATCTTATTTTTTAAATACAAATGTTGAAAAACCTCTTCCCCATAAATATTTCTTTATGAAGTGGTTTTTTTTTTTTTTTCTACTTTAATTTAAATAAAATATCGTTCAATTAAGTTGACAAACTCAATTCTCTCTATCACTTGTTTTGTTAAATAATAGAAGTTGACATATTTTACTTTTGCATTCACTACTTATGTACATGTTCTTCATTATCAAATTTGACAATTAAATTCCCTAGGAAGCCTCTTATGCCGACTTATGACAAATTCATTATTAGGATACTAGAAATGTAGGAATTTTTTTTTATTTTTTATTTTTTTTTAATAATTTGACGCATTTTCATTTTTACACTATTTAAGATGTAAACTGAGTATGAGAAAAAAAAATGTATTCCTCACAACATCTTTGTTAAGACTTGATTTGTAACATTGATAACTTCAATTATATTTTTAAAAAAAAAACATATTACGTACATATAAAAAGATTATCTAAATGTATAATTGTCTTTTCAGATACTAGTGGAGGGATATACGCGTCTTTTTATGTACTAGTTGAGGGGTACATGTGTAATTTCCTCACCAAACAGTAAAAGCAAAGGGCAAACAATAATTGGACAGCTCACCAAAAGTATTGAATAAATGACCTTGTTTTTTCAATATATTTACAAAAATGCCATCAAATTAACAAAAATCCGTATATCAGGCAGATTAACTGGTATTTTCCAATATAAAAACCAGTGTAACAAGATCCTACATCTCTACATGAATACATTTTTATTAAGTATAAATAAATAAATAAAAAAAAGGAAGTCAAAGTAAGTGATATAAATAATATTTTAAAGTCAAAACTTGTCAACTTATCATTTAAAAAAAAAATTGTCAATTTATGTAAAACTTTAAAATAATAATAATAATAATTTATACTTCATATCATCTTGTTAAAAATTCTTGTATGAGACTTATAACAATTAGAGTCTCCAATATCTTTTGATACATATTAGAGAGAATTTTTAAGTTTCTCAACATGAGAAAAAAATATGTAATAAATGCATTTTTATATTGTTCAATGACTAAATCACTACTTTGCCTGTAATTTTACATCTTAAGAAACAAAATACAATTTTTTTTTTTTTGACACAAAGAAACAAAATTCTTACTACGGCTTGTAGTATTTTGAGACACGGCCTCCATGCTACTATGCTAGACGCACAATATGCATTGTACTATTGAAAAAAAAATAAAATAATTCTAGTTTCCGTAACGAGTTTTGTTCCTAGACAAATCTCTTTTCTCGTATCCGGTATACATGCCCCTTGTATGAGAAAAGTATATGAAATATGAAATGACTTTTCTAATTCTCTTTTCCGGAGAAATCTAATTAAGGATCTGTTTTGATACGATTATTTTCAGTTCAGTTTAATTCAGCTCTAATAATTAAGTTCAGTTCAGTTCAGCTCAGTTCAGTTTAGCTTTAATAAGTTCAGTTTAGTTAAGCTCTTAATTTCCTTCTCTTATAAAATATTCATTTCAGTCCAGTTCAGTTCAGCTCAGCTCTAATAAGTTCAGTTCAGCTCAGCTCTAATAAGTTCCGTTTAGTTCAGTTGAGTTCGTTTCAGTTCAGCAATAATAAGTTTATTTTAATTCAGTCAATGAGAACATGCCCTAAGTTCATCAGGCTAATTTACATGGGATGTAAATTAGGGGGTATTAATCTCATTTCAGTTATTTAATTGGGGGTATTTTTGTATTTTCATCTTTCTTCCTCCACTCTCCAATTCCCATCCACCTTCTTCCTCCAAGCCAGTAAATCTGCACACCAACGATATCATACCACCACCTGTGGCGGTTCAAAATGCCGCTGCAATGGTAAGGCTTTTCCCTAAGGGGTTGATATGGCCCTAATTTACACCGTTTGCTACTAGGGTGTCTTTTTGTAACCGCCGCTTCGGGGTCGTTGTTGTAAAGAGAATCACGGGGCTGTGATGGTGATGGACGCGAAGATGGTGGTGGTAGCGATGGACTGTGATGGTGATGGACGCGAAGATGGTGGTGGTTGCGATGTATTGTGATGGTGATGGCGGCTGAGAAGAAGATGGTGGTGGTTGTTGTTTTGTTACATGCCACCGTTATCGGTTAAAAAAAACCGAACAAATAAATATAATATTAATTGCAAGTATGGTGTACGGCCCACACCAGCGGCTGATCGTTACTTGCCACCGTCACTAACGAGAATTTTGCATCGGTTAAAAAAAAACCCGAACAAATGAATATAATATTAATTACAAGTACGGTGTACGGTCCACACCAGCGGTTGATCGACAAAATTTCGTCAATCAGGTTATATCAATGCTATAGTAATGCACGGAGAATCAAGTCTCAACAACATTTAAAGGTACGCATATACTGTAATTTTATTACATGATTGCATTACATAACTGTAGGCAAAAGAGTTATATACAATATATTACCACAGCAGAAAATTACTCTAAAACTGATTTAATTTACGGCGGCTACCAGACTTGATAGATAATTTAATCCCGTAACTTCAAACAATAGAAACACAAGTTTCACTCATGGATTCTAGATTGTGTTAAGAAGATGACATCCTATCAAGTTAAGTTTAACTAATGAAGCACGATGCAGGTAATAAGCTTCACAGGAAGCATGTTGAGGATTTCTGTTTTCTTCTGCCTTCTTGCATCCCACAAATTACCTTCTAAAGTACATTCTATGAAACACTCAGTAAGCTCAAAGAGAAAAAACTCAGTGGAAGAATAAGCAGCTCTGCCGCTGCATTGATTCTTGCATGATGTAAGGCTTTCGTCTGCAGCCATAGCTCATCTTGGTAACTCAAGCATGAAGCTTTTCTTTTTTGGCTTACTCATCAATCACACCGACTAAGAAAATCATTTCACAGTGTAGTTTATGCGATTCTTTCTTTCACGACTGTCCTCTGGAGGCTGGAGCTGTTCCACACAAGTACTAGGGTTTCCTTATGCACAGGCCGCTTCTGAGCCCCTACATGATAGAAGTCTAATGTGCATTTTCGCAGCTTGCATCTTGAAATTTTCACATTGCTAAGTGAGTACTTGTCAGCAAACTACAACACCAAAAGAATGAGCACATGAAAATATGAAATCCCTTCTGATTTATTAAGGGGAAAAAGCGATTCCCAGTAAAGTTATACTGCATTAAAACAATGAAAAATAAAGCTAAGACATAATTTGCCAGTATACGTAAACATGGACCACTTTTGATGGAATTAGTAGGCAGTAGATTCTAAATTACTTCACAAATTAACATGTGTGAGGAATGAATCCATTTATACAGATCAAGGAAAACTACCAGTGACAAAGGGTCTAATTGATTTACTGGCCTGGTTACGCAAATTCCTAAGATAGTGCAGTTATCTCACACTGCCCACCCCTACTTTTGGAAACCTCTTTCTAAGACAAGTGGTGGCCTATTAAAAATTGAAGCATTTTGGAGGGCATCATAACTAATCAATGGTTCAAACAAGAAGTCATGCATTTGGCCACATTTATGCAGTAGTAAAGCAACTGATAGCGATCCATGTGCATATCATCCACGAAATACCTACATATTCTCGCAATACAAATGAAATATTCATACTAAGACATATAGTCAGCAGATTATACTTTTAATAGGGGTTTAACAGAATAACCTGTAGCCACAGCCAAAGATGTCACACAACAGCATAATATACTAACATTTTCAATGACAATTAAAAAAATGTTCAAATAGTCGCAAAAGAGGGGCATGAAATGCTTGTCAACTAATTTAATTAAACCAGGCAGGGAATGTTATTAATATAAGATCAGAGTACCAAACATATTATGTTAAACACTGAGATTAATTATAAAGCAAGTAATATTGGGTTTGCCACTCACATGTGGCAGATCAAAGTCACCTTCACCTGCATCACACCAATCTAATGAAATGCTTCGAAGCATCGGCAGCTGTTACAATCAAGAAAAAGGATTTCATATTAATTCTAGTTTAACATAAAATTCCTTTAGAAGGATGTTTTAGTATTACAGAGAAGAAAATTTTTGCGATGCATTTATGGCTCCAAGGTGGCAAAACTACAGGAATAAACTTACTCTCGAAGCAGCATCAAGTATAAAGCTTTTCTTGATTCCAGGACCCTGCAACCAGCATTTCATAGTTAAATATCCTCCGTATGTTACTTCAACAAGTCTCTCAGAGCATATAATAAAAACTTGATGAACAAAATATGACTGTAAAATTTCCCACTCTCCCTTCCTAACTCCATCCCATAAACCTGGCAAAGTTGAAGATAAATGAATAGCTCATGACAGAAAAGGGACAGTCTGAGGGCATGCGCATGGGTGGGGGGGGGGGGGGGACGACATGTTCTCAAAATTATATGCAACCCTTCTGGGTTTATTTTTTATTTTTTTATATGTTCCTGTGTAGAATCTTAGCAATAGTTCATAATTTGAGGGAATCTTTTAAATTATTCCTTATATTACATTCGTTTAAAGTTCTTAACACTTTCATTTGATTTAAACAATATATAAAAGTTTCAAAGGGGTTGGTTGTGATAGTTAGAAAATGAAAGAGGGATGAACAAGACTTATTTCCTTTGTCGTCGTTTGTTATGACTTATTCAGTTATTCATCATTTCTTTACACGACTACCAAACTCCTCTACTTTAATTCCCTACCCCCACATGGTTTTCCATTCCCTTTCATTGTTTCATTAATGTACCAACATCACCGCCCAACCCAAAATTCCACCCATAATCACCTCACCCACACTACCCCAACACTGCCACCTCTACCCAATAAAAAATCACATCTGCCTACCCTGAAACCAATACCGCCCACCCTTATATAACCCCCACTCCTGAGACCAATTACCGAAACGTTTGGAAAATATGATTGAGGCATATTTTTTTTGTTATTTAGAGCTTTTAAAATATCTTTAGGTAATCTTTTAAAATAATCTTTTAAAAAAAAAAAAAAAATCTTCAAGTAATTTTCTTTCTATTTCTACATTCTTATCTTTATAGCTCCTTTGAGCCTAATTTCTTTCTATTACTTTTTTTTAAGGCGATATTCCCTTTTACTTATTCCTTATTTTGTAACACACAGTGTTTGAAAAAGCGCGCCAAAGACGCTAAGGCGCAAGGCAAAATGGGGTAAGCGCTTAACTTGGTCTGGCGAGGCGTTTTTGGTAAGGCGCAACCTAGGCACATGAGGCGTACCAAAAGCGCAAAAGGCACAAGTGAGGCGCACTTGGAGACATTTCTGCCAAAATTTTTAAGTGCTTGTACATTGCGCCTCATTGCAAAGAGACGCACTAAGGTGCACCTAGGCGCTGCATGACCCTTCTCGCTTTAGCACGACTTGAGCTTTCTTATACATTGGTAACACGTTATCAACACCATTGCTTTAGTTATCCAAAATCGGAGGAATCCATCATTAAATAATTTAACATGGAATCATAATCATCTATGAAAGTTTTAAGAACAATTTTACCTAAGTTCTTACAAATTTTGATGAACCATGCATCTACTAATTACGTATTCATATTCTTTAGCTTAAGATAATATACATATAATGTACTTCGTGAAAGATCACACATTCACGTACACACTGATTCGTAATTATATTTTTTGATTTTTGTAATAATCATGTATATGTATGTTAGCACGTAATATCTTTTGTAATTTTGATTATTGTTACCCGGAATGCGGGACAATAGTGCATTCCCCGTACCGAAATGTCCGTACCATTCGCGGTGGCTCACGATCTGATTCATCCATGACAGGAACTGAATTTCAGGTATAATAAAGCTTAAAACACTTCAAAGGTTTCATGAATTGATGAGGGAGATGAAGAAATGCGTAAAGTGTGATAAGAAAACAAGTCTAGAGCAATAAATAAAGATTATGGACTCCCATGACCCAATGTTCCCTTCTCTTTCTAATCCTTTCTTCTTCTTACTTATAAAGCTGTATAGCATGGGCAATCAAGCAATACATTAATTACAATTTCTAGCTTAATTTTTTTTAATTTTTTTTTTTTTGAATTGTATGTGTAATTAATTTACGGTAAATATCAAATATAAAATTCAAAATTAACAAAACACTATTAAAATAAACGGCCATACGTTCCGGGAACTCTAATGGCTACAGTCCACGTTTCCGTTCCCGTACCAAGTTCCGCAACGTCCCACATTCCATGTAATGTTGATTTTGATATCATATGATATTGTGTTAATGGATAAGTATTATAAGTCACTTTTATTGATTATAAAACTCCTACATATTGTTATGTCAGACTTATATTTGAGTTTTCCCAACTTAGTTTAATGCCACTTTTCCCGAAAACATATTTCCTTTGTATTAGACTTCATATATTAGGAGAATGTTAGACTTTATATAAAATGACCCATATTGTACTTTATAACTTGATTACCACTTGTGAGTACACAAGTAACTTCTTCTATATTTTATTACGATTGCTACTGATTTAATTTATTATCATGACTCTGTTTTAGTGATGCAACATTTTTTATTTTTATTCATGCATTACTCTTGAATAGTGTTAGATTATATAAATAATCTCTTATAATTATTTTGTAATTATCTTGTATATCTTATAGTCAAAGGGCTATCAATTAGTTCCTTATTAGTAGCCTATAGTTATGCCTAATTCAAGGCTCATAGTTAGGCTCATAGTTTGGATATAACTGACCTTGGTGATTAATAATATTCATAGCAAATATTCAACAAGAAGAACTTGTGATTAATAATTTCTTCAATTGGTGATTAATAATTTCTCCTCCTAGTATTGGGAAAGGAGCAATTATTGATGATGGTCAAATTGAAGAAACAATTTCCGAAGAATGTCCAAAAGAGACTTTAGACATGATACAAGAAGAAATGAAGGTACTCGATAATGAAGAAATTTCAACCAATAATATCAAGTCTGGAATTACATGGAACTGAAATCAAATCTACATTGATGATGTTTTTGCATACAATGTAGCATTAGATGTTAATGTTATGGATAATAATGAGGATCATGAACCAAAATCCATTGAAGTATGTAGACAAAATTGGCAAAAATGGAAAGAAGCAATTGAAATAAAGATGTAAAGCCAATGGGATATAAATGAGTCTTTGCACGAAAGAGAAATAAAAAGGGTGAAGTTGTAAGATATAAAGCACGATTAGTTACACAAGGATTCTCGACTTGGCATTGATACTCTCCTGTGGTGGACCTGAGGTAGATGCAACTATTTTTAGATTTCTGATTAGTGTGAGAATAAGAGGACTTGACCTATGTTTGATGGATGTAGTCACAAGTTACTTGTATGGCCCACTAAATAATGACATTTATATGAAGCTCCTGAAAAGATTTAAGCTGTGAGAAGCAGCAAAAAAATCTAGTTCTCGAGAACATTTCTAAATTAAATTAAACAAATCCTTTCTGGATTGAAACAATCTAAGCGTATGTGGTATAATCATCTAAGTGAGTATTTGTTAAAAGAAGGTTATAAGAATGATCATATCGGCCCATATATTTTTATAAAGACATTTGGATCAAGATTTGTTATAATTGGAGTATATGTTGATGACTCTTCTCTATTAGGGTTGGTTTTTTTTTTATAAAGAACACCTAGAGAATGGAATCTTTGTGCATCAATCAACATACATAGAAAAAATCCTAAAGGGATTTTCTATGGATAAAGCACATCCATTGCGCAGCCCTATGTTTGTAAGATCACTTGATGTAGAGAAAGATCCTTTCTAACTCAGGATAATGAGAAAGAAATTCTAGTTCCTGAAGTTTCATACTTAAGTGCAATTGGAGCACTAATGTACCTTGCAAGGTCATAGTTAATTTGTTAGCAAGGTTTTATGTCCATTGTTAGATTATATAAATAATCTCTTCTAATTATTTTGTAATTATCTTGTATATCTTATAGTCAAAGGGCTATTAATTAGTTCCTTATTAGTAGCCTATAGTTTTGCCAAATTCAAGGCTCATAGTTTGTATATAACTGACCTTAATGATTAATAATATCCACGGCAAATATTCTTATATGGTATCACGAGTTCTAGGTTATCTCCTTTCCTAAACCTTAGCTTCCGCTTCTCTTCTTCCTCTTCTCATCCATGGCCGACACTAGCAAAATTCATCCAACTACTCTTGTTCCTAACATCAAGGCTTGCATACCTATTACCCTTGATTATGAAGGAAAGCAATACAACTGGTCTACGCTTTTTCAACTGCGCCACTATGGTGATTGACCATATTATACCTCCGTTAGTTGATCCTTCAGATCACTCAGAGAATGACATTGTTCGTCAATTACTCAATTCTATCCTTGATCCCGATGACTCGGCGGTTGATGCTTGGAACCGGTTGAAGAATTTTTTCCTCAACAACAATTCCGCGAGAGCTTTGCAATTTGATGAGCAATTTACAAACACTCGGCTTGAACAATTCGATGGTGTTAAGTCTTATTGCACTCAACTCAAAACCCTAGCTCATAATTTGAGAAATGATGGAGACAAGGTTTCTGACAATCAAACGGCTCTCCAACTATTGAAAGGTCTCTCGAAGGTATATAAACCCTTTTAGACGTCCGTTCGTCATCTCAATCCTTTGCCCTCTTTTGATGCTCTTTGTTCAAGGCTTGAATTGGAAGAACAAGAAAATGCCGCTGATTTCTCTATTGAGTCTCATGAAGAGGCTCACCTCACGCAAACCCAAACGGCATCCCCGAACCATGCTGAAAATTCTCAATCATCATCTCGTGGAACAAATCAGCGAAATGGCCGGAAAAACACCAGAGCAAGGGTGGCTCCGGCAAGGGCAAGGGTGGCTCCGAGCAGCAGTCGCAGCAGCCCAGCACCGTCCCTCATCGCAGCAGCAATCCCCAGCAGCCGGGTTGGCTTATGCTCCACCCTGGGGTTACTGCAGCAAGGCCCTTGGACCATCCCTCCCCCTGCCCGTACCCTTCAGCAGGGGCCACAACCACCCCCTCAAGCATACTAGTGTTGCCTCCCCCCATCTCCGGGTTACATGCCTACCAACATTAAACAAGCGATGCACACACTATGACTTTGACCGATCCGAACTATTGCATGGATGCCGGTGCAACGTCTCATATGACAAATTCTCAAGGTAATTTGACATCGTATTTTCATTTGAGCAATAGTCATAATAATTCAATTATGTTTATGATGGTAGCAAAATTCCCGTTAATGGTTATGGTCACAAATCTTTGAAACAAAATGCACTCCACCTCAAAAATGTTCTTCATGTTCCAAAATAAGTCAAAAATCTCATCTCTGTTAGGAAATTCCCTATTGACAATAATGTTTCCATTGAGTTTGATCCTTTTGGGTATTCTGTGAAGGACTTGCAAACGGGGAGCAAGCTAGTGAGGTGTAATAGCAATGGCGATCTTTATCCCTTCTTCACTGATCGTCACATCCTTTCATCCTCCACTCCGTCAACTTTTGCGGTTATTTCTCCTAGTGTGTGGCATTCCCGTTTAGGTTATTCGGGAAATGCAATTCTTAGTTCATTGCGTAGTAGTAATTTCATTCAATGTAATAAGGTCACTCATGTATGTCATTCTTGCCCATTGGTAAATTAAAAAATTCGACTTTTTACGATTCTATGTCTCACACTACAATGCCTTTTGATATTATACATCTCCTGTTCTTTGTTCTCTTGTTTATAAATATTATGTTCTCTTTCTTCACAATTACACGAATTTTTTTTCGACTTTTCCGATTTCCTCTAAGTCACAAGTCTTTAATTTATTTATTCGTGTTCGAACATATATTCACACTCAATTTGAGAGAGAAATTCAGGCTTTCCAATGCGACAATGGTACTAAATTTAAAAATGATCCATTTGAAAAATTTAGTCACCAACATGGGATGAGTTTCCGTCTTTCTTGTCCTTATACTTCTCCTCAAAATGGCAAGGCAGAAAGAAAAATTAAAACGATCAACGATATTGTTCGTACTCTTCTCTGTCATGCATCCATGCCACCATCTTTATGGCATCATGCTCTTGAAATGGCCACTTATCTTCACAATATTTTGCCCACAAAGCTTCTTAATTATAATTCTCTGACTCAGATTTTATATCAAAAACAACTCGACTACTCTCATCTTCGAGTCTTTGATTGTTTGTGCTATCCCCTTTTCCCTTCATCCGAACTTCACAAGCTTCAAACTCGGTCTTCTCCTTGTGTTTTTCTTGGATATCTGTCCAATCATCAGGGGTATAAATGCTTTGATATATCATCTCGGAAAATTATTTGCTAAGCATGTTTGGTTTGATGAGTCGTTCTTTCCTTTCTCTAAGATTCATACTCCTAATCCTCACATGTACGATTTTTTAGATGATGTCTCAAGTCCTCTTATTAATCCCGTGGTTAGAAACCATGTTTTAGGCGTCCCTTCCTCACCGAATGCAGCCAACCAGACTGCTCGCTACAGTCCGCACCCTCCCCCTCCCCGCGGAGTGGACTGCACTCCACACCTCTCAGCCCTTCCTCTGCACCCAGCCCGCATCAACCCCTGTGTGACACTCTAGCCAGTGCTCACCAGCGTGGTCTCGTAACACCAACTGCTAACCCCACCGGGATACATGCGGGCACTAGCATGCGAGGCGTAATGCTTTTCATTCCTATCCTCCGTATATGTCCTCAACCCACATTAGTGCAACCTAGGCGATAACTTCAATTGAACAAGAGCTTGTCTATAGGTTTCCAAATTGTGTAATTCATTCTCTAGAGATATTCATAAAGATTATTGTGATATAAGCAGTCTTTGATTTGCATCATAAATATTTCCTTTTGTCTACAACCATTGTTCCCACTTAAAATCTGACTTCTTTGGATAGTTTGTGACGATTAATCTATGAACGTTGAATGTTTACCAACTTCGCTCTAATACCAGTGTTAGGGAAATGTTGCAAGTGTTCATATCTCTGGATGTATTGCAAATTTTTTACTAAATAATAAATAAAAAAATAAGTGTTACAATAATACACACCCACACGCACCTTAATTACACACAAGTTCATTCTCATAAATTCTCTCAAAGCTTTTCTCACTAGGCATTACTTTTCTCTTTGTTTTGGGATGATATGCCAGAAATCAAATAACTTAGGGCCGATTTGACTGAAAACTCAAAAGCGGTTTCTCAGTTTCATATATAATCATGGTTTCAACAGGTTTATGCATGTCATTATGGACTAAGACATTCTAGCTCACAAATTTACATGTGCTATTTCATTATTGTGCAGTAGCAAACAATTGGGGGTATTTCAAGTCAAGGTGTTATGGATAAACCACTTTTTAAATGCAGATGTCAAGCTGCCTAAACGACAAGTCTTTCCTCATCATAGCAGTAACCTCTTTCTAGGCTCTGTTTGTTTTGACTTATTTTCTATTATTTAGCTTGTAAATAGTGGGAAACAATTTTTCAAAAGAAAAAAAAAAGTCTTCCCATAGTGGAAACATTTTCTTTTTAAAAGAAAGAAATGCCATACTTTCCTACTTACTCCTAACATCCCTTTCCTATGTTCCCATTCATCTTCTATCTTCACTCCCGTCTTCTTCCTCAATAATTTTTCTTGTAACCAAGCAAGGTTAGGAAAATTTTATTTTATAATTGTGTTTTTTCCTTGAGATTGTATTCCATGGTAAAATATAAATAAATAAATAAAATTTTAAAAAAAAACCTTCGCCAGAATATGTTTTCCATTTAAAGAAACAAATTCTTTAGTACTTTTAATTTTGATGATAGGTCCTGGTAAAAAAAAATGATGATAGGGTTGGAAAAGCTTACATTATGGCGGAGCAGAAGGTGTTCCAGGGCCTTGCAACCGAAGAGAAAACTAGTTCCTTCAGCAGTTACTGCTCCACAATCCTAATATGAATGAAAGAACAGAAAGTACATGTCACTATAATAATCATTAGATTGAAGGAAGAAAATATGAAATAAAGCACAAGCATCTGAGAGCTAAACATGCTGACAACACAAACAGTCTGAAAACAATATTCCGTTAAGGGCATGCTTGGATTGAGGGAAATGTATTACTAGGGTAATAAAAATTATGTAGTAACAATGAGGTATGAGGTGAAGAAAGAAGCTCATTTTGGGGGTAATAGTTACACTAGGGGGAGGGTGTGTAACTATTAGCCTCATTATGAGGGTAATAATTCCTCCATCTCTCTCTTTTCCTCACGGAACAACTATCTTATTTCATTTGTAAACACCATACCTCTTACAACACCTGTAATTACTTATGCTTTTTCAAGTTTGACTTTTATTATTCCCTTAATCTATTACCCCCAATCCAAGCATGGCCTAATTGTATATCACAAAACTGTACACTAACATCTTGAAACAAATATAAAAATATAAAACAAAACTAAACACCACAAAGTACTATTTTGACTTCTCATAGACTCTTACTCAGTTCCAGTATCCCACGCTCACTAATAGGGAACTCAATAACATCAAAACATTCCCAGGTATCAATAATATTTTGCTCCAAAAACATCCCTTGCTCTCTAGCTCCCCCCAAAAAAAGCACGCCCAAAGGATTTTCCAATGGGGTACATAAGAGCTAAGTAACTTAAACTCTTCATTTCACCTTAAGTACCCGTGTTGAATCATTGACACTTGGACATGAGTTAAACACAATGACACTATTCTCGACCAAAATCAAAGAAAAAATTTAACAAAACAGCCAGATCAGCCACTAATACTCTACTAAAAGTTTCAGTTGGGCCATATTGTAAAGTTTTTCAATTAACTGAGCCTAAATTGTCTGGTTCAATGAGGGGTGTTTTAAAAATCCTTGTTCTCGTCAAAATCAAATGTACTAACCTCAAATCGCTACGAATTGAATGTTACATCGCTTGTTTGAACTCAATACTTTCTTTTCAAAGATCCAAAAGATTTCCCACAGTTCCTAAATATTTGCTCTAAGCCTCTAAAAGTCTATTCTAACAACTCTAATAGCGGAAAATTAATATAAAATCCTATAGATACTTCGAAATCAAATTCATATCACATAAACATGACATGGTATGTGATCAATGCATCATTTCCGGTCCCACAACACCATGATTGTCCTTATGATCGAGACCAAAACCTTAATTTCAAGCCATGCTTCACATAGAACATTTTAGTGTGTTTCTCATCGTTGTCAACTTATATTGAATTTGCCTTCCTATAGACCAACTGAACACCCGTTGAACCATAAATCATCACAATATATCCATACTAGCATCATGGCGCCTCCCATTTATAGGCACATAAACCTTGGAATAGATTTTAGAAAAAAATTCCTGCCGAGATTGCAGAAAGGGGCATGCCTATAGTCTACAATTCTTCTAAATTTCTAATACAGATCATAGAAATCATTTATGTAACTGTGGAAAGGGTGCTTACCTTGATTAAGTGGGCATATTCAGATATAAAATTGTAGTATTTGTTCAAAAAGAGAATTATAGAAACATAAATTCCCATAAGTACCTCCAGATGAAGAGAAACTAAGCCTGGCCAACCAGATGAGATGATCTGTTGAGAATCTACAAGAAAAAAAAACTATTCAGGCAGATTTGAAACTTTATATAGTTTGTTCAACTTCATAAGACTTCAAGTCTTCAACTTCCATAGCAGCCACGCAAATGACCAAAAAAAATAGATGGCCCTTTCAGAATAACATAATATATTGCAGACAGAAAACAGCCAAGATTCTACCCCATCCCCTATAACAAGCACAAAATATTATAAATTGAAGTACTTTGTGATTCTGTCAAAGTTGCATACTGACCTACACCAAGATGCATGCAGCCTACCAATGAAAGTTCAACCAAATTTGCAAAATTCTGTACCAGCAATGTCAAGTCATCATTGGTCATCCAGGGTGTCACCCTCTCCAGATTCAATTTTCTTAAATTTGGAACACTATGATTCAAACACAATGGAGATACATCTCCAATACAATAGCAGATAGACAAAGCCTGTAGGTTCCTCAGTGTTCCCAACAGATTCATGATGCTAGTATCAGATATCACCTGCAAAAGACAGGCTCAATCAGTTGTATTTTGAATTTAAAAGGTAAAAGTGGATGAATATTGAATCCAAATAAGCTTCACCTTTGTCTGCGTTTCATGTTTTGGATCACAAATAAAAAAAAAATCTCAAACATATATACCCCTCCTTCCCTCTCTCTGACTTTCTCTCCCTAGGTTGCACTAATACAAATACGGGGACAAAAATGGGTACGGGCACGGGGACTGGATACAGCAAAAAAAAAATTCAAAAAACGGGTACGGCTCAGATACGGCAAAAAAAAAAATTCAGCAAAATATAAATCCATTAAAAAAAATCCATACAACACAACTTATTAACCGACCCACTACCTGTACTACTATCAATATTATGACTTTATGAGACTCCATTCAACTGCACAATATCAAACATAAAAAAAAAAAAAAATTAAATAAATAAATAATAATAATAATAAAATAAAATAAAAAATTTCACCTACTGACATTCTCCATTAATGTCATCACTACAATTCACTAAAATATCAACAATACATAAAACAATTAAAAAAGGAAACAAAACAGTCGAAGTATTAAACAGATCGAACATAGAAGAAAGGGGAAAATTAAAAGTACAACTCCAGAACAAAGAAAGAAGAGAGAAACACTAAAAGAATGTTGAAGCGTCGCTGGCGCCGGTGTCGACTGTCGCAGGTGGGTCTCCGGTCGCCGCCTTGAATCAAATCGGAGAGTTGGAAGAACAAGATCAGAGTTCGAAAATTTTAGGGTTTATGAGAATTGGGGGAAATCGACTTTCACGTAAGTTTTGTACTGATTTGGATTTATTTTAGAAAATTGGGTTGGACTTCATAGGAAACGGCAGAAATTGGGATTTGTCGTACCCGAAATGTTTCTGACCATGACACTAACCGTCCCCAAAATGACTTGGCGTACCACTTTTGATGGGGACGGATTGGGGACGTATCCTAGGCGTCCCCGTACCGTACCCGTCCCCGATACGTTTCAGGTACAGAAAACGGCACTCCATTGTCGTACACGTGCATCATTGTTATCTCTCCCCCCTTCTCTCAAGTCTCAACAATGAGCACATCAGGTTTAAGGCTAATCACTTATCACTACCATCCTCCATTTATCCACAAAAGAAGAAACTTACCCATACAGGAGTACTTTTGAGTATGTATATGCCAAATGGTATTATAACTTGAGATGATCTAAAACATTAATCCATATTTTCTGTATAAAGTATTGGATCTTTACACAAAAGTACATACATAAAGGTAATTTTCAATCGTCATACATAATTAACATCAAAGGATAAGATTAAAAAGCATCGACAATACAAAAATTCACACATATGAAATGGAACTGAAGGACCCTACTTCCTTGCTAACAATTTTCTATATGGCCAGAAGCAAGAATAGGTTACCTCTATGAGCAAGGGATACAACAAGAAAAAATGATACAGGACACTTACAATAACAACAAAAATTGAAGAGTGAGAACATCTGAGATAATGTTGTTACAATCCCTTTGCTAATTTACACCATAATGATCAACATGTCGTCCACGTAGCCTCCAAAGTTTACAACCCTTACCCATCTCCACCACCACACCCCCCCTCCTACCACCACCACCACCACCAGCTCCGAAACACCAAGACTCCAACCACTAGTATAACAAGGAGACATGTTCACTTCATAGTAAAATCTAAGCGAGTGGCAAAGTCGAATAATAGTCATAGGCATTTGACACATTAGTAGTTGATGATACATCATACCTGAAATAAAATGGTGACAGATTCTAACAGCGGACATAGAGCACACAGCAGAGTCAACCCTTCCGGACCTAATGATCCACCTAAACCCAGATTTACAGCTTTTAAAAATCTTAATCCAGATCCTGTGGAATTGAGAGAGAAAAAAGAAAATCCCCATCCAACTGAAAGCTCCTCCAACTTGCAGTCTTGTCCCAGCACACGAAACAATTTACCATGAGGAGAAAAGGGTAATGAGCTTTCAACTTCTTTCATTTGATTTGGACATAAGTTATTGCATCCCTTTGCTTCCAAACATCTGAGGCCCGGATTTTTGTTAAGCATATGCGACAAAGCATCTCTTGAAATCTAGAAGAGCAAACCAAAAGATATTATGGAGATGCATACAATCAAAAATAGGTTTTGTTTTTCAGCAAGGAAATAAAAACACTAGAAATATCATTTTGGGGGATTAAGAATGTATCACATGTGCTACATAAACCAAAAGCAACATCTTTTTGTTCATGGTATCACTCTCGTGATTCAATAAATAAATACAAGTTCTGAAGTTAATAGGATCATATAAACTATGATTCTTTCAAACTCACATTTAAGACATTATCTTTTGATCCTTTAAGAAAAATAAAGTATAGTCCTCAATAAAGGTAGTCAAATTTCTTTCTGTTGGCTATTAATTTTCCTCTTAGTGGAATATAACACAGATTTTAGCACCTGCCCTACCACTAAGATACAAACCCCTTTAAAATACTCAAACAGACCCAGATCAATGTATTTTTCCATTAGAGTATGCTAGTTCCATTATAATAAGTTGCTGAATCTAGAATTTTATGAATGAGAGACAGGTATTAGTTTCCACCCACAGATCTCCAATTACAGCCTTACAGGTCATTTAATGCAGCTAGTCTTAGACTGGCATGAGTTCCAAGAGAGGGAGAGAAAGAGAGAGACAGAAAATGCATACAGAAAACTTTAAACGAAAGAGCTACCAATTCTTATGACAGAAATGAATATCAACTTCGGAATTGCAGACTAACCATGGTGTTAGAAACATCAAGAATCTCCAATGAGGATCCAGGAAATCTAAACAGTGCGTGGTCCACCAGGAATGTATTCCTCAAGCAAAGACTTTTGAGCATCCGTCCCCTAGACAATATTTCGCAAAGGGATGCTTCACTAACACCTGCAATGAATCTTCGTAAATATTTGGGATGTAAGAAGCTACAACCGAAAACCATCCTTCTCAGAGCAGAAAAAACATAAATTATAACATCATGGCAGTTTTAAAAGGAACCCTATTAAAAAATGATGAAGCTGTGCAAACTAATAAAGTCCATAAGGTAGGTGATGATACATGAAGAATTGACAATTGTATGAGACCTCTTAAGAAAATTTCTATGGTATTGCCTTTCCACTTGTAAGAAATGTATTATTTTTAATTTTTTTTGTATAGGGGGTCATGTGAGTGATATACGAACTACTAAGTATAATTTTATCATTAGTACCACTGTTTATGATTGCCTAACAAACAGGCCCATTAGTGTTCTTGAAATGTTCCCTTATTAAGTAAAGGCTTCAAAAAAAGGAATGTAATGGTCACCATCATATGTAACAGCCCATAGGAGATGCCAAAGCATCAGTGATTCAGTGCTACTGCAATAAACCAAGCTTCCCTTACAGCAGAGAACAAGGCAGGGGAAGCAAGGGATAACACCTTAAGGGAGATACCACCACTCCAGACTCCACAACATAGGGCAGCACCATCCTAAAGCTGCAACTGCTGTGTTTGGCTCATTATTTGCCACTTTGGCTTTTAGGGAAGAAGACAAGATGTAGTAGTTATGTAGTAAATTAAGTAATGAAGTGTACAGACTTAGCCAATTCATTTAAATAGTAAGAGAGTAGGAAAGAGAAAGCATTCAGAAAGTTTGTATTTGGAACCCCTTTTGATGGTTACTTGTATTCTCTTAAAATTTTATTTATCAATCAATCAACTTGCCCTTTCTTGTTATCTCTTTTCTTTCTTTTGTGTGAGTTTGCTGTGCTTTGAGACTGTAGTGTGTTGCAGCTACTTGAATCATGTAACAGCATCTAATGTATAACAGTAGGCTAGAACACCATTAGACATTATCTGAAACCCAGATGACCCTTAATTTGTTTCATGACTAAGTTGCCCATCAAATTCTCTGTCAGCAAAATTTAGAGTTCAATTACTTTGCAATTTCCAATAGGAGCACCTTAATAGAAAATATATAAAGATCAGTAGATCTCACACAGACAAAGCATATCACTACATACCCTGTATCTACACACAGACTCTCAATAGAATTGTTCTAATAAGGAATATATTAACACCCACAATAAATCATAAGAGGATTTAAAGCAGCAAGCAAACAGTTGCAGAACCTCCAAACAAACCCAGACTGCAGCCAAACCAATAACTCTGCCCCTGATTATAAAGCTATTGTTTGAATTAAAGAGTAATCTATTTATCATTGCACTTGTCAACTCAGAAAGGAGTTGATGACAAATTTGTAAAATTAATAATTGCATAATACAATGGCTAAGGCTGCAGGGAGTCATGGTTGTCAAACCAACCCAAGTACAACAAGACAGAGAGAAGAGCCAAGTTTCAAGGCTGATTAGATAGTTAATGTAAAACTCATCTACCTTACCCCTCTCCTACACTATTTTGTTTCAGTTTGCTATCAACGGAAACTCTGTTAAAAAGTTGAGATGGACACTTTACTATAATACTAATATGTGGCATCTGAATGATGAGTAATGTAATTATAATCAATGTCCTATGCGCTATACTATAAATGGTTATTCATGCCAGAAAGAAGGTTGGTTATCTAAGAAGGGGAAGAAAAAAGGAAGAGTAACCATTATTTTTTAATCAGTAAAATTCAACATGTCACTGTGATAGATTGATAACGATGTCCAACTATCAATCTATATGGAGCCACAGAAGGTTGACTACATTAAGATCATTGTCACCAAGGTGGAATTTTGGGCTAGGTAATCAAGATGATAAAATTGGACTTGGGCACCCAAAATGATAACATGAAAAATTAAGGTCACCAAAGTGGAAGTTTTTGCCTATGTTAATCGGACACGGCTAATATCGCCAAGTGTCAATGTCGACACGACACTTTACGGACACATGACACGTGTCCGATCCTTCACTATGCATTCGGACACTTCCAAGTGTATGAATAGTGCTAAAGTCAAAACGTGTCAACAAAAAAAAAACAAAGGTAGTATTTGTTTTCTATAATAAGCCACATAGAAGTATTTGAGAAATTGAGAAAGAGTTTTACTCACCAGTACAGCCACCTATATGCAGCACTTGTAGATAAAGATCAGGTAGTTTTATATGTTTATTATCCATCTCCAGCTTAGAAAACCCACTATCCAGATCTCTGGAGCAAAGAGCAGAAGCAGAATTTCTCCCAAATGCGGTATCTGTAGCTATAATTGAATGCAGGTTCCTGCATCTGAGTATGAGATTTGCAATACCACTATCTGACACTGATACACAACCTCTAATGTTCAAAAAACTTAAAGAGACACAAAATTCTGCAATGTGATTGAATACCAGATCTGGTGCCAACAAATTAAAATTTAAGTCAGTATATAACATCAATTTTAAACCTAACTAAAAGCCGTCAATCCCAAAAACAGAATGACATACTTCCAATGAATGGAGCTCAGTGTTATTCAAGATGATAAGCTTGCATAAAGTAACTATTAAATTATTAGTATCTGTTACATGCCGATCGACTTAGTTTGGCAATATCAGATTATGAAACTGCTACTAGTTTCAAAGTTCTTCAACAAAGAAAAAAACTCATTTGCAAACCTGACATTGCCTTTTATTTTGACTGGTACTTGCACTCATTCTCTCTTTCCCCTCCCCTTACCTCACTAGCTCTACTGTATTAGACTGATTTTCTGGCTCTATATTTCAGATTTGACAATGCAAGTAATTAAGTTTAAAGCTTGAATATGGAAAAAGGGTTACAAAAGATAGGTTGATAACTTTAGGCTATTACTCTCAAAATAGCTTTAGGCTATCACGCTCTAACAATGGCTTGAGGCCATAACTCTCTAAGGTTTCCCTTCAATACAAATTTATGCCCATCTTCCCAATACCTCTCTTCCATTTTCATATTTTTACATTCTCCATCCCTAAGATGATTCTAGACTGAGATTTTGTCTCATGTGCACAGGTGGCATCTCTTAGTTCATTGCATATTTTATCTTATGTACTACAATTGATTACTACTAACATACTAAACTACCCATAATAACCCTCCCCTAAGTCGGTTCATTACATCTGCCTTCTCTAGCTCTATGCACCCTCCACACTCACCCATGGTTTCGGTCATCCTCTTTCTTTAAAGCATAGAAACTCCATGGTACAAAAGATGAAGTTCTCACCTGAGAAATCACTTCGTCCTTCCAATGTAAGCTTTGTTAGATTTGATACGATTGGACTTCTTCCAGAACATGGAGACATATCAAAATACCTTTTCAATGCAGGTCTATTAACAGATTCAGAAAATAAAACAGATACATTTGGAAATGTAAGAGGACTAAAATCAACAGTCAAGTCAACTTCACAGACTGAAGAGTAGTTCTCTATTAATTGGCACAACTTTTTTGTTTCAAAATCCAAAAAGTAAGCCATTCGCACAGTTCTTAAGAATGGAAATGACTTCCGAAAGCATTCCATTGCAGCACCAAGATGCAGCCGAGAACACTTGGAAACATCAACTTCCACCATTCCTTCAAAAGACAAAGTAGATAAACCCAAAAGCCATCTTGGACATTCAAGATCCATTGATTTCTGTCCTATACTCTCCAACAATAAGGGACTCACTGAGGTTGTTTGATGAAGAATGGAAAGGAGTAATACTGAGGACGTTATTTGAGAGCATCCAGAGAGATCAAGTTTCTGCATAAACAAAAATCTAGTCAAACAATCAACAACTACTATCCAGAGGAATACCACAACATAAAAAATAAAAAATAAAATAAAAAAGTTAAAGAAAATCCTGAGAAGCTGCATGCTATTCAATGTAGACAGAATTGGGTTCACACTTTCCATATAGTTCAACAGAGCATATAAGTGGTCCAAATGTAGCAGTCAAACAACAGACCTAGAAATAGTTTTGTTAACTAATTTCTAATTTCATAGAGAGATTATACCATAGATTCCACGTCCACCTATATGTAATTTCTAAATTCATAGAGAGATTATATCATAACTAATTTCCATATATGCATGAAGATGATACAATACAACCCATGATGAAGAACTCTTTTATAAGCCAAACTTTGTGAAGGTAATTTCAAACTTGCTACATAATGCACAAGAAGGATATGAAACTGATGATTATAATTGAATCTAAGATAACAGCAAATTATCTGAACCAATTTTAACCACACGAACACACTACATAAATCAAATAGCAAGAAATAATACAAAAGCACAATGAGCCATACAAAATAATTATATCAAACAACAGTCCTAAAAACCTACATGACTATTAAAGAAACAAGGAAAATTATTTAACAAAAGAGGAAAATAAAGAAGACAGTGATGATGCATAAAAAATGCAAAGGGGGCGAGGAGAGAGAAAAATTTCCCAACCAAAACTATCTTTACCAAGATATATAATGTAAGGGTCCAATTAGCAGATTACCTTTGAATACTTTGTCATTCTAATTTTCATACATCTCCAATCACTGGCATCAACAATTAGATTCAGATCCTCAGACAATTTGTTCAACAAAGTCATACTTGCTGCAATACCTTGCTTTGCAATTTCTGAAAAATAATGAGACCTAGATTTTCCTGCAAAACACTCGTTGTTATACATCAAATGATATAAGGAAAGAGAAATTGAATACAAGTATATATTTCAAATAATAGGTGACAAGATATTACATTACATACCCATAAGGAACCAAAGGGGTAAAAGGTTGGCATGTACCTGTTAAAAGAATAACATTAAAATCGTATAACTAATAAGCTGAAACACGTAAAAGCTAATCAAGAATTGAAACCGCTTGAAAATCCATAGTTATCTTCTTCATGTGTTAATTCAGCCAATAAGACCTGAGGAAGATTACAATAAAGAACTCCAAAGAGAACAAATAAAAGATTCAAAACCTTCATCTTTCATGAAATTGTAGAATTACCTAACATGAAACACATAGGGAAATTAGTTTTTTATGAGATAAAAGGGTAGCATAGGGCTGCCTTGACAACAGTAGGGCCCACATATTCCCCATCAGCTTACAAATGCTAGTATATGTTCAAAATTGTCATAATCACTTAAAAAAAATATTTGCTGTATACTCAACAACAAATTTTATAGGTTAAATCACAGATGTTGCTAAGTAGATTAAAGTGGCACTATCACCTGATGGCTACATTAAGATGCTGATATTATGGTTACAGTGTAAGAACTAAGAAGTGCAACATCTAAAATTCAATATAGAGCATATGAGATTGAATAGACATCAAAACATATATGTTATATACAAACATTGTTTGTACAGTTATGATTAGACCTGGCAAACGGGTCGTTCGTCGGGTCAATTTCAGGTCAAAAAATATTTGAGTAGGGTCAGATAAATTCAGGTTTCGGACAAATTTAGTTCAACACATCGGGATCAAAGTTTGTGTCGTGTCACTTCAGGTCGAGTCAATTTTTAGGACTAATTTTTGGGTCAATTTTAAGTTTGGTCAATTTTGGGTCAAGTCCATTCAAGTCGGGTCAGTTTGGGTCGGGTCATCAAAATATATTCACTTAAAAAATATAGTTGGAAAAATAAAGTAAAATCATAAAAAAAAAATAATAAATAAATAAAAAATAAAAAAATAAAAAAATAAAATCAGGTTAGGTCAATCAATTTGTGTTCAAATCGGGTCGGGTCAAATTCAGGTTTCGGGTCAAGTTTGGGTTTCAGGTCATTCGGGTTGGGTCATTTCGGACATCGGGTCACATTTGGGTCAACTCCACTTCGGGTCGGGTTGGGTTAGTTCGGGTCAATGATTTCGGGTCAACTTTTGGGTTGCGGGTCGGGTCATTCGGGTCGGATGAGGATTGCTAGGTCTAGTTATGACCCAGTGTTTGGAACATTAAAAGAGATTACCACATACTTTACTTAATGAGCAAAGATGTATTACTTAACTTAGTGAATATATGTATAATTTATAAGTATAGTATATAATTGGTGGCCACACCAATTCTTTAATGCATGAAACATGTTAAAAGAGGCCATCACCCACCTAGCACCCCCGATGGTGAATTGACTAAGAAATTGCAACAACTAACTCAATACTCAGTAACTCAGACAATGGTGCTACAAATTTGAACAAACAACATCTACATCAATGTGACTATGATAACAAGGTTGCTGGTAGGAATCCACCTATTTTGAGGGTCAATAAGAGCCAAGACTGCTTGGGGAAATAGGATGTCTGAAGATGAGAGAATAACTATGGCTACATACTACCTTCAAGGAGAAGTAAACATTTGGTTGACATCTACAGCTGCTTTAACAGCACATACTATCTGACCACAGAATGTTAAATACTTAAAATGCTAAAGTTAGATGAAATTGCTACCTTATGGTATGGTAGAAAAATATATCTATTCAGGAGTATTACTTCAAATTACTAGAATTAGCTAGGTTTACACCTACCATGGTTCCCGATTAGCAAGCTGAAACTGAAATGTTTATTTGAGGACTGAATTTTGAGACTCAAAAACCCATCTTTGTAATGGGATGTCAAACTTCACAAAGGTATGCAATAGAGCTATTGGTACTATAGAGAGATCTGGAAAAGGAAATTAATGAGGATAGAGAAAAGAAGAAGATTAAAGGAACAACAATCACAATGGAGGTAATTCTCATAACCATGGAAACAGAAGCTACGGTACAACAACCTAAAGGCAATAACCAATAACCAATAACAGGGAAACGATGGGAAAAGACCCAAAGGCTGAGGTCGAGGTCAAGGAATTGGAATTGAAAACAGCATGAAGCACTATTACTGCAAATCGTGCGGTAATGTGTTGGAACTAAAAAAAGAGGAAACGTGAGATGAAAAAAAAAATGCTTGCATTCATTACACAAATGCAAAACACAATATTTCACTTCATTGAACACTAATTTTTAGCAATGTTCAAAACCAATTACTAACCAATTACCCACATGAGTGGCCCCCCTCTTTGGTTTCCGTTACTACAACTACAAAGTAGATGCATAAAGATCAAGATAATGAAAGTTTTCCTAGTTCAAAAATATAGTGTAGTTTCAAAGAGGATCGTCATCAAACACTACTTTCTTGCAAAATCATGTTATTAACAATTAGATCACTATACTGTTAAAAATAATATTGTTGCTATTGCCATAAATCTATTTTTTTAAACAGCCAATTGTTAGTTCAACATGCATGTATTAGTATACAGTTGATGTGCTATTAAATACTGCAACTAAGCTCTTGGAATGCCAATCAGCCCAAAAACACAGAAAAGGGAAGGCAAAAAAGATAAAGGTAAGAGAAAAAAGTATACTTTCCTACACAATTACCTCATCAAGGATACTAGTCCAATCATGGGTAATCATAATCATTTGTTTTGCTTTGTCACTCCCACCATCTTCAGCAGAATCAGCACTACTAGTTTGTCCATGTGGTTCCATGTTTGCATGAAGCCATGCTAATAATGCTTCACAGAGATGCCTTTCACTGTCAATTGTAATCATTAAGACTATTACTAAGGTACTACCAATAATGGGAACAATAACATATCGAACTAACCTGTCTACGGTCAAATTAGGATGCTTTACACATGTAGCAAGGAAACCATATGGAAGGTCTACAAATGTGTCACAGGAGCAAGCCCACATCTGAAATAAAGAATGTATCATATAAATCAAACATATTACTTTTACTGAAGGAATGTAGATGACCAAAGTTGATGACAATTAGCATAGACAATAGACAAAAAGCTAAGGAAACCTTCCTTGTGTGGTGGCTGACTGGCTGTTCATAGAACAAGCTTATCCAAGGAGCAATCTTAAATTGAAACTACTATCCCAAATTCAATTATTATGTAAATAACAATAAACATTGCCAAATTCAGAACTGAAGCACTGATTACTGAGAAAAACATATACAGTCTATCTTATGACCATATACTAATAAGCAAACGGAATAGCAAGTGACACGGGCTACTCAATAAAAATATTAAATAAATAAGTTTAAATTTAGATACATACAAAATTCCTAGCAACAAAGCTTATACATAGTCCCGAAATCCAATCGATAGCTGCAATATAAAATGTTTACCTTAACATCAAGCTCAATGCCAAAAAATGATCATAAAAATAAATAAATAAATAAATAAATAAATAAAGCTATTCAAATACAGAAGTATAAAGAGGAAGTTTTACCGTGCTCCAAACCAAATTTCCAAAAATGAATTAAATCATCCAACTTTACTTGAGAAGAAAGCCCTTCCATCACTAAAATATCTGAAAACCAATCTCTACACTCTGAAACAAGCCTTTCCAATCCAAAGTAAAGTGCAGCCTGCCACATGACAGGGAAGAAAACAGAAAGTCATTGCAAAAGCGAGATTGACAATATTAGTTCATACAAGTATACAACATCTGGAGGTATTACTTGTAATAGCTATTTGTTTGTCAAGCACTGCAATGTCAATGAGCTAGTGTCAATAGTTCCTTATGTGACACCACAACTGTTTCCCAATTCTGTAAATATAGGACTGCGGATAGCTGAACAAAAAAGGGCATAAGGTGCTAAGAGGCTCAACCGCTTTATTTTATCCACATTTTATTTTCATGCCAGTAAAAGGGCATAAGGAGCAATTTAACAAAAAATATAGAGGATGGCTACTAAACATTTATATCCTCTATCACTAATAAATAAATAAGTAAATAACGTACAAGACTACAAGTACAAGTTATATGACCATAATATCGGTTTTGTAATCAGATCAAATGTGCTACTCAAAAATGAAAGGGGTAATTGCATGATTTGTATCTTGGTATATGCGAGAAACTGAATTATTATGCAATGAATTGACATGCAATATCCATTGGGTATGCCTAGGTGAATTGGTATATGATAAATAATAGCATTAAATTTTGCGTTTTACTCTTTTCCAGGATTAAAAACGCTTACATGACAAATTGGAAGAAAAGTAGAAATTGTGACTTCTGTGTGGCATCCATGTATAAACCTCAATATATGTAGAAATGTATCACGGTTCCATTGGATAGAAATGCAAAGCATGGATGATTCACTGCAAGTCAAACAAAATCATGATGATCAAGGATATACACATAAAGGAAATGTTTTTAAATAGGAGAAAGAAACCAAAGAATCAGAAAACAATGAAGAATATACAATATATTTGCAGTACCAAATTGGTTTCAAGCCTTAAAATATTAAGAATATACAATACATTTGCCTAACAAGGTTTTATTCGGTAAAATTCTATATCACGGACAAATCTACCACTCCTTGTTAACTTATTAGTACATAAAAGAAAACTCGGAAAATTATGGATGGTTTGACTATAGGCTTGCTCATCATTAACCAAAATTGAACAATCACAGTGAGTTCAAATTGACAATATCCTCCATCGATATTTTACTAAAAGTCTAATTTCGGGAAAATTAGGATGCCTCAAACCTCCACAAAGTTATATTCACGCTTTCATTCGAAGAAAAAAAAAAAGTGATAGTCACGTTAATAGTGTAATTTGAACTAATAATGTAACAACTACTTAACACATTATATAATTAATTACTTCAAACTCCTTAACAAAGAGTGAATTCATTAGTTTACTCAGCTTTCTAAAACTCAATTATAAATAAAACGAGCAAACAAACACATAATTCTACCTCCTAAAAAGCTAAAGCTGTGAATAATTAAAGAGGAAAAAATAAACAAGCAAGTTAAAAAAATACAAGCAAATTTCAAAAAAATAAAATAAAAACTTGATTACCTAAAACTTCCACAAAGTAAGCTCTGGAAATAAGAAGAATGTTCAATTAACCTGAAATAAAAATTAGCAAAGAAAGCGTAATTATAGCTGAAATTTAATCAACAAAAAAAAATAAAAATTGGAGTAATAATTGAGTTACCTAGTACGATTGATCTTGACTTTGACAATTTGATGAGTGAGAATAAAAGGCAAATTCCAGGAAGAAATATCAGCCACAGAAATGAAGATTTCGGCGGCGGTTTCCGATGAATGGTCGGAGAAAATGGGGTCTCTGCATTCCAGAACCACCCAATCATGCTCTCTGTCGACGGTGTTATTGCCGGCCATTCAACACCAACTCAAATACTACTAACGTCCGCTTCTCGGAACTCGGAACTGTAAAATCTTGAATTCATTTATTCTTTCCTTATCTTAAATACTTGTAGTTTTAGTACGTCTTTGGCGTTAGCTTTTGAGTTGTTTTAGGTAGTTTTTAGGGTTTGACCAAGTCAAACCATTGTAAAATTACATTCCTCTTTCTCTCTATTACGTGAGGAATAAATGCTAGAAAAAGGAATGTAATTTAGGAACGGAGGGAGTACTTAACAAAAAATGTGAGTGTTTGGCAGAGTAGTGGTTAAGGTAGCTTTTAGTGGTGGGGTAGCTTTTATGAAAAGTTAGAAAGATTAGCTTTTGAAATTAGAGGTAGCTTTTCAGGTAACTGTTGAAAATTTTAATCTATAGTTTTAAAAATAAAATATAGATTTTTATATATAACAGCTAGTCAACTGCTACTTTCCCGAACACCCATATTTAAATTATTTATCTTCACAGCTAACAGCTTATTGACAGCTAACAGCTACCTACACAGCTAACAGTTACCTCCACAGCTACAGCTACCTTCACAGCTATATTGTGCCGAACACGCCCTTAAATGTTTCACTTATTTAAAAACACGGAGGTACTCGTATCTATCTAGAGTCCCATTGTATTTTTATTTCTATTCAAATAAACTAAGCATCTATTTTACCACATGCACAATATAACTAAAGCAAATTAATTCACCTAAAATTCTGTGTAAATGCAAATGATGCATTTAGGGGAAAAAAAAGGAAAAATGGAAAAGAAAAATTCAACCTTTGTACTTTTTCCTCCTAAAAATCCAACCTTCGTTTTATTCCTCAAAAATTCAACTTTTATACCCCACCTTCTCTAACAGATCTATTACCTGTTGATGACCGGTTTTTATAAGTTATATGCCACGTGTAAGCTATTAATAGGTCAAATTATTTTTTTTTAATTATTAAAAAACTAAAAGAATTAAAAGAAAAAACTAAAAAAAAAAACAAAAACAAAAAAAATTCAGAAACCCATCCCCACCCTCCTACCCTGGCCACCTCATCCCCACCGCCCACCAGCCACCGAACCCAGCAACCAATCCATTCTCCTATAGCAAATAAACTAAGCATCTATTTTACCACATGCACAATATCACTAAAGCAAATTAATTCACCTAAAACTCCGTGTAAATGCAAGTGATGCATTTAAAAAAAATTGAAGGAGCTCTTTTAAAAAAAAATAGAGAGAGTATTGACATAAACTTTGACCAATAATCCTCTGTTTTTTACCAAATATTCTTGCATTTGTTTTTTTTAAAAAAAAGGCTAATTATGAATAGCAAATGTAGTGATGTAACTTTTACGAAACAAAGCATTGAAGTGTTAAAGACATTAGTAATATCATTAAAACAAGGAAAATTGGTCAATTACTACCGTGTATTAAAGCCAATTCGAAAATTACTACCGCGAAATAAAAAAAATAAAAAAAAAAGAACTTGTGACTTACTACCACTAAAACTTTGAAATGTTTATTCTACTACCAAATCTCCACTCTTAACTCAAATATGACGTCATTTACTCACGTTTAACCCCTAATTAAGCAATTTAACCATCAAATTAGAAAGAAAAATAAAATTAATCTAACCCATGGTTACCCCTATTAACCCAACCCAATTTTTCTCTCTCTCTCTCTCTCTCCTATACTCTGACTTTGAACTCCATTGATGAACAATTTGCAAGTGACAATTACTCTGCAAAAAAATATTTTCTTTGCTAAATTAAGCAGACAGTGATGCGAGCAATGAAGGAGGAGGACCCAAAAAGAATGCAATTGGTCTTGTATGGACCCGGTCTACAATAAATTATTATAAACCCAAAATTTGACACTTTTAAATAATATAATCACATTTTGGATGATATAATCACTTTTTTAGATGTTATAATTATCTTTTTGTGAGTCATATTTTGAATTATATAATCTCATATTAAACCATTTAATGAGATTATATAATTATATTTAAGATGATAAAATTTAAAAATCATGTTTTGAAATGATGTAATTTACTATTTGATACTTTTTATAATGATAAATTCACTTTTTGAGTTATACATTTGTATAACAGTTTCAAAATGATATAATCACTTTTGTAGTAATATAATCACATCTCGTATGATATAATCACATTCGTATAGTATACAAGAAGGTTGGGTCTACAATAAGTTATTGTAGACCGGGTCTATTCTAGTCTTTGTAAAAAGAATGATGTTACAGTAGAGTGTCCCTTTGTAATATTTTCCACATCAAAAACTGGACAAGGTATGAAACTTCTTCCTGGATTTTCTTTGGTCCAAGACATCATAATTTAAGTCTTCAACCCACACTTAGAGCTTGTTTTAATTGACTGGACTGAGCTGAACTGAACTAAACTGAACTTATTAGAGTTGAACTTAACTGAATATTTTATGAGAGAAGGAAATTAAGATAAGAACTTAACTAAACTGAAAATAAGCTAAAGAGAATAGGCCCTTACATTTCCAACCCATTGACCTTATCCACTATAAGAAAAATATCTTTTCGTAGCGATTGTACATCACTAAATATGCAAGCATGTTTGTGAAATAATTAAGGATGTCGTATCATTTTTACAGTCGCCATGGTTTTCCCATATAAAATCGATACGAAAAACATAATAATACATATCAACACTATTTTTACACATTTATATAATTTTGAGAAGTCGTAACATTTACAATCACCACTAAATCCTAAAAATCGATACGAAAAGCCTTTTCAATATTAGATATATAAATATTGTTTGACAAAGAATACATAAAATATGTCATAGCTTATTGGTGAAACATTTAATATAAGAGTTTGAGGTTGCATGTTCGAATCTTGTAAAGATCATACACTTTTTTTTTTTTGAAGAAAATGAGTTAAACATTTATAGCGATTGTAATCGCTACAATAATCACCACGATTGGATGTAGTTTTTCGTATCGATTATTGAGGCCAATCCCAACGATATTGAAAACTACTACTAAAGGCTAAGGCAACGGGGGATATTGTATCGAATGACCATTCGTTGGGAAAGCTTTTTGTTGCAATTACAATCGATACTAAAGGTTAAAATAATCGCTACGAAAAGGTTATTTTCTTGTAGTGATCCCCCTAAACATCTTCCAGTCACAAGTATGAAGTACAAAAAAAAAAACAAAAAAACAAAAAAAAAATCAAACTTGCATCACATGCATATTATGTTTAATTCATAGTTTAATTCAAAGAAAAATACAATAGCACTACGTTAATCAGCCAAAATCGCAATAAAAAAAAACCCTAGATTACAAAATCCCTAAAAAACAGTTAAACCCTAGAATAAAAAACATTAAAAGTTTAATTTTTGATAGGAAAATTCAACAAATCCAACTTTTAACTAAATCGATTAGAGGATAGATAGGAAGAATTAGTGGTCAATTTAGAGAAACAACTTTAATTTGAGGGATTTTTACACTTGGTGAAGAAGAAGAAAGAATGGAAAAGGGGAGGTTTAATTAGTTTAAAGGGGAAACCATAGGCTAGCTAGATTTTTTTTTATTGGTTAAATTGCTTAACCAGGGGTCAAGCGTGAGTTAGTGACGTCATAATTGAGTTGAAGTGGAGCTTGGTGGTAAAATAAAACTTTTGAAAGTTTTTTTGTGGTGGTAAGTCAGAAGAGTTTTTTATTTTGCCATAGTAATTTTCATTATGGCTTTGATACGCCGCGGTAGTAATTGGCATATTTTCCTTGCAACAATTAAGAGAAACATAAAGGGGATACCAGTTATTGTTTCGTACAGGCGGGTGTACCATGTCCAGAAGAACATTATACTAAAAATAAAGGAACAAAAGTTATAAATAAAAGAACATTACCTATAAATAAAAGAACCTAACTTATAAATGAATATTACATACTTGCATTACCTATAAATTAAAGAACATTACATATAAATTAGGGAACATAACCTATAAATAAACAATCGTAGTTATAATTATAATACATTACAAACGAACATACAGTATATATATTTTCTGAAAAAGAACATTACCTTTCTGAAAAAGAACATTACATATAAAATAAATAACATTACATATAAATAATGGAAAAATGCTACTACCCAAACCCTGGAAGAAGATGATAAACAACAATGGTAGTGCCAAAAATTCAAACTATCAAGTAATTTCATGATAATAGCGCTTCATATAAACAACCAACATCATCACAAAACACAAAATATAGGTAAACAGAACAAGCAAAAGAGTTCATCATTGAAACAAAACCTAGTTTCATATTCATGAAGTAAAACAAACTCGAACAAAAAAAAAAAAAGAAAAATCATTCCTCAAATGAGTAGGAGACCCTTGTAAAATGAATTAATAGTGGAAATCAAGCTAGTAGAACACTCAATTGCAAGTTCTTTAGCCAAAATAAAAAAATACCCGAAATTCTCAAATCATGAATTATCTGAAAATTTTGCTGGAAAATTTGGATTTTAAAGTGTTAAATCTAGTAAAAATGTGTTTGTGAGTGATGAATTAAGCACATAAAAACTAGAAAATTCAAGAAATAAAATGAAAGAACAAAGAAGTTAGAGGGAGAGGAGAGAGGGAGTATCGAAGAGAGAGAGATGATGAAGGGGTGAAATGAACATTACATATAAAATAAAGAACATTACATATACTACCTCCGGTTCATATTATATGAAACTTCGGAATTTTTTATAGCTCACAAATAATACACCAAAGTTGCATATAATACGAACCAGAGGTAGTAAGTTTTATTATTAAAAAAAACATTACATATAAATAAAAGTACATTAAATTTGTCCCAATGTTCTTTTATTTATATGTAAATGTACTTCCGGGTGTAGGTGTACCATGTGCATGGTACACCCCTCTACCATACTATATTCGAATACACTAATAAAATGAATGATCTCAACAAGGCATCAAGTACTTGCTAGTTGAACAATTGTAACCTTCAAGCAATTTACCAGTTCTTTAAGAGTCATAAAAT